GCTGAAATATTAATCTTTAACAGGCTGGTGTAGAAGTGAACGGGGAAGGTTTGCCTCCATTGAGTTGTGTAAACTCTGGCTGAGTTCTTAGCTCCCAGAAACCAAGGAGGGGCTGAGTCAATACAAGATGGGTTTAATAGGTAACTCAGAGGGTGGGGTGTTGACTTTGAACTCTTTCTAGCCATGCCCCAACCCAAAGTCTACAGGACACCCAAGGAAAGGTAGCAACAAACACAGAAAACGTCTATTCAGAGTAAGGGAGAACACCCTGTCCTCGAAACCCCAGAGCCTAATAGATAGGTTGGAGGAAAATGTGTCCCATTGGGTTTCAGCCCTATGGAGGAAACGTTCATTAAGTAATCAAATGAGCTTATTGCTATTTGTTACACGGGTAGAACTTTGCATGCAGGCAAGTAGTATACATTGGCTAGAAACTTACTGGTGACTGCGTAGAGTCAGTGTGATTTTTGGGGCTACTTGCAGCTAATTGATAAAGCGTCAAGGTAGCCTTGCTTGCACACACTCCGTGGTGCAGCCGAGATGCGTGCCATTAAGTTGCCTCGGACTTACGGTGACCCTATGAATAAGTGCTCTTCAAAGCTGTCCTCAATAGCCCTGCACAGCTCTTGTAGACTCAAACCTGTGGCTTCCTTTAGGGAGACAGTCTGTCTCATGCTTGGCCTTCCTCTTTTCCTGCTGCCTTCCACCTTTGCCAGCATTGTTGGGTCCCCACCCCCCAGTGAATCTCATCTTCTCATGATGTGCCCAAAGGCCAGCCTCCGTTTCAACACTTTGGCCTCCGGAGATAATTCAAGCTTGATTTGATCTAGGAGGACCCACTTGTTCACTCTTCTTGGCTAACCCTTCCCTTACATCCAGATGTTCCTATCACTCTGGGATCCTTAAAACATGGAGTGTTTTTTTTAAATCTAATACCTCGGGTCTCTGCCTCTCTGTTTGACTTATGGGTCTTCCATCTGTCATACCTTCTCCATTCTTCTTCCCAAGAACATTGGCAACTGGAGCGTTGGATTCCCCTTTTACACTGGTCTCTCCCCGCCCCCCTCTAAAAATGACTCAGTAAGCTGGGGCATGACAATTAGCCACAATTAGCCACTGCAAGTTATGCAAACTTCACGCAAACACTTCACTCTCTGTTTTCAGAACATGTGCCCAAATGTCATAGCATTCTTGCAAGCGCAGACATGAAAGATGGGGGAAGCAGGCAGATCTGCCCACCCAAGAGGTCCTTCTGATCTTCTTCAGCAGAACAGAAACTGACTGATCCTTGATCACCACGCCTGTCTTGTGCTTCATTGTTATCCAGCCGTGTGTTAAGAGGTCTGTCTGTTATGTGCTTGTTGAGTTTCATCTGACTTATGGTAACGTTCATAGGGTTTCCATGGCCTGTGAGATGTTTAAGATGTAGCTCTACTAATGCCACCTTCTAGCGAATTTCCACGGTTTAGGATTGGAAACCCTCAAATGTCACTCTACCTTTGAATTGCTCTCCCTTTATTGGACCACTAAAATATCATAAAAAAGAAGTCTGCAAGACTTTTGTTTCGGGCTGGTGGCTGCAAAGTTTGAGTTTTGGGAAGAGCATATCCCCCAACTCTTAGAGGTTGAAGCTGCAGGATCTACAGTTAAAGGTCCACCAAAGAATCTCAGCCTGGGGTGTGGTGGCATCATGTTTTATCTTAGGGCAGTGGTCCCCAACCTTGGGCCTCGAGATGTTCTTAGACTTCAACTCCCAGAAATCCTGGCCAGCAGAGGTGGTGGTGAAGGTTTCTGGGAGTTGTAGTCCAAGAACATCTGGAGGCCCAAGGTTGGGGACGACTGCCTTAGGGGACATAAAATGGTTTGCCTTTTTTCATCTATGTAGGCGATGGCCTGCCACTCCCTTGGGGAACTATCCGTGGCTCCTGCACTATCTCGGAGCAGAAGCGCCAAGCAACATGGCAACCTTTCATGATCCTATACCCATTTAGTCAGGATTCAGTCTTACTGTATTCACTAAGCACATATAAGATTGAAAACACTAGGTTTACTCTAGTTGGGTCTAATAGTGCATTTAGAGCACCGCCACTGCTACATATGAACATGTATATAATATTTGGGAGGAAGAATCCTGTTACTCTGTTGCACCAACAATAACCAGCGTCCTGTGGCAGTCCTCCAGACCAGTGGTTCCCAACCTTGGGCCTCCAGATGTTCTTGGACTTCAACTCCCAGAAATCCTGGCCAGCAGAGGTGGTGGTGAAGGCTTCTGGGAGTTGTAGTCCAAGAACATCTGGGGGCCCAAGGTTGGAGACCACTGCTCCAGACGATCAGGCAGAAATCCTACTGTTGATCAGGCTGTGTGCTCAGATCCCTTATGCACTTTCCCTTACCCAAGTGTAAGCTTATGGCCAGCATTTTTTATTTGGTATCACCTTTGAGAGATTTCATCCAGCATGACTGATATTGACACGTGGGGAGCATCTGCCTGCTGGACAGCTCCGTGCTTTAGCTCTCTGGCTGCAGAGCCAAAGGTTGGGAGTTCGATTCCCCCCCACTGTTCTTCCCTGATGGGGGGTGGACTGGATGATCCACAGGGTCCCTTCCATCTCTCCAGTTCTAAGATTATCCCAGATCTACATTTCTACTCTCTGACCAATGAGTGCCAGTGTGGCCTAGTGAATGGAGGGACCAACTAGGACTCAGAAGACCTGGGATCGAATCCCAGCTCTGCCCTTGGGGATCACGGCTGTTGGCACTGTTAAAAGTGCTCCATGCCCATCCCCACTGGCTTTGAAAGCCCTTTTTGGGTGGCCTTAAGTGGGATGTGACTTGACAGCAGAACAACGACTCTCTGGTTAAGACCAGCACACAGATAGCAGGTTCCTCCCTCCCTCTCTCTCTCTCCCCCCTCTCTCTCACACACACTGCAAATCAGCTGTTCCTGAGAAGGGTGGGAAGGACAACACGTCTGCTGGATCTTTGCAATCATGGCGAGCCCCATCATCTTATACAAGGTGGATTCCTTGAGGTTAAACGACGGCGCGGAGGGGGGGGATGCGAGATCTACGCAGTAGCTTCGCTGGCTGTTGATCCCTCCTCTCCCTCCTCCCGCGCCGGTGCCGCATAGAAGAAGGATCCCGCACACGCGTTTCAAGCCTTCCAAGAGAGTTGTGGGGGGCGGCGGAGAGCTGAGAATACTGGGGTCCCCTCCTTGGTCTTTAGCTCCTGTCTCTCTCTCTCTCGCTTCCTGGCTGAGCTTGGCACGGTGTTTTTTTTTCCCCCTCCCGGAAGGGCGGCGTACTTGCGTGCCCACGTCTCGTGTGTATGCGCACCTTGGCGTGGTGCGGGTCGGCTTGTTGATTTATTCCCCCCCCCCATGCAGTACGAAACGCCCAGCAGGCCGGCCTTGCCTCTCTGCTCTTGCCAGAGGAAAAAGCCAGCCTAAAAAAAAAAGGAGAAGAAACAAAATCAGTTTTGAAAACATTTGGGGCCGCCTGCTGGGAGGAGACCAAGGGTGCGCCCGGGGTAGGGTTTGGGTGTGGGGAGGAGAGGATCGCTGAGCAAGGAAGGCAGAGAGGAGGTGCCTAACGGGCTGGGACGCAAGGGCTGACCCACACACACACCCCGCCCCCTGCTCCCACCCCTGGGCGCACCCCCTGCCTCTCCCGAGACGCGCCTCCCCTGCGAATCGCGGCCGACTCCTCAAGAAGAGTTTGCACTGCCCAGACACCCCCTTCTCCCCTACGCGCACATACACACATACCTTCCCCAGACACCCCCCCAAAAAATCCTGCTCCAAGCTCACGAAGCCTGCTTTCTTAAGGTGTGTGTGCTGGGTGTGTGTGTGTGCGCAAGAAGAGGCTGAAATCCTGCACAACGCTTCAAGACGATCTGATTCCATGGATGCGTGTACCTAGCGAGGCGCGCGCGCGCGCGCACACAGACACAGGCGTCTTGCCAAGCGGCGGCTCGGATCTGATTCTATGGATGCGTGTACCTAGCGAGGCACGCGCGCGCGCGCACACACACACACACACAGGCGTCTTGCCAAGCGGCGGCTCGGCTTCCTTAAAAAGAAAATAAAAACGCAATAAAATCAGCCAGCTTCCTTCCCTTCCCCCCCTTTTTTTCTGCAAAAATGTAAAAAAAAAATTGGAGAGGGTGGCCAGGCACAGCGCCTTTTCCCTCTTGCAAAGGGGAGACCAGGCGGCACGGCGGGAGATCGATTAGGGCGCACGGATTTCCCAGCGCACACCCTCCTCCCGCAATACGTGTGAACGCTCCCCTGCCCCGTGCAAAGAGAGGGGTGTGTGTGTGCGCGCGCGCGCCTTGGGAAGGGTGCGCGTTTCTTTTTTGCAACTGATTTCATTTGAGTTGCGTTTGTAATTTTTATTTTTCATTTCAAATCCTTCCCCCCCCCCAAAAAAAAATCTCTCCAGCTCGGCTCGGCTTTTCCCGGCAGGGTAGGTGGGTGGGTATTTAGAAAGAGAGAGAGGGAGAGGAGGGGACTGGTAAGTCAC